TTACAAAAATTTTGTATATTGTCTTTGTTTTTCTTTTTGTCAAAGATAACGAAACCGTTATCATTTAGAAACCATCAACCTAGTGTACTTTCAAGGGAAGTATAAAAGTTTATGGTTATTCGAAAGCCAAGGACGAAATAGTCTCTCAGGTGATCCACTGTTTATGGCAATTTTGAATTTAGGAGGCTATGGATGGTTACAGTCTTTCTTTCTAGGTTAGAAAGATGGGTATATCTGCTCGCTGAAACAGAAATGTGGTGCAGTGAAAAGAACATGTGTTTTAGAGCAAAATGACTTGGGTTTCAGTACTGCCTACGACACCCATTGCTATGCAGGACTTTGGTCAGATTACTCAACCTCTTTGAGCCTCAATTTTCTCCCCTATAAATGAAGATAATAATAATACCTGATACACAGAGTCTTATGGACAGATTGTGTAAAGCACTCACTGAGAAACTGGTAGATACCAGGTCCTAAATAAACCTTAGTTTCTTTTCTTATTCTCTGAGAAAGGAAATCCAACAGCAGGTAACAGTGTCTTAAAAACATCCTGGGTCTCAAACCACTTTGATATTTCGTGAAGAAAATCCGTGTAGTTCTTGTGTTTATTAAAAAGTCACCTAAAAGTTGTTTGGGTATTTTGTGACTTGTATTAGTGACCAGCTTGGGCATGGGGATGCCTTGGATTTGCCTGTTAAATATATCATACTGCTGTATCTCCCTCTGGGAAAACATCATTCCACGATGGGCTCTCAGAGCAATTGAAATAAAAGTGCCTGCCTCAAGAAGGAAGGTGGGCAAGAAGAAACTAGAATGGCTTCTAACCACTGTCCACCTAACAGTGCCGTCCAGACGTGACCTCGCCCTTGTCTCATGGCCACTATAAGCTTCTCAGAAGGAGCAAAATAGAAAAGCAAATAGCACTTGTACTCACAAACCTTCTAACAAAATTAGCATACTACACTTTCAGTCTTACGTTTATCAGTGGCAGGGAACTAATTTAAAGTCAGTTTGGAAACCATGTTATCTCTGTAGAGTGGCATCATTAGATTTTTTTTTTTTTTATGCCCAGATCACATTGTTAACATTACACTTTTCCTTCTCCAACTCCCCAACTCTATAGCTTTTCAATTCTTATCACTTACCTGGGCTCCATCTAGAAAAGGTTATGCAGAACCTATGGGCCAGTTTCCCCACAGACCTTGCCTACTGGTGGTATAATTGAGCCAACCGGCTGAGGGCAGACCCAGCCCTTTATTTTCCACTCTGAAAATACTAGAAGACTTAAGAGCGCTGCACTTTGGAAAGTGAGTGGATTAAGCGCATATGTGCTTGTGGGTGCAGATGCCATGGAGGGAGAGCGACAGCTACACCGTCCACAGCTGCAGTGCTGCAGTCCACAGCACCCACTGAGTGGTCTGGAAGAAGTAGAAAGCAGCAGAAACTTCTGCTGATCTCTGTTCCAGTCCTCCAAGGGAAAATACAAACCACGTTCTTTAACCTGGCTTACAAAGCTCCTACTTACATTTTCTAGTGTCTTTTCCTATTCCCTGCTGTGTACTCCAAGACCTAGACATACTAAACTTCTTGCAGTCCCCAATCCCCTGAACACCCATGCTTCTGTTGCTTCAGGTCCCAGCTTACACACTGATTGCTCAAAGAAGCTGACCTTGAACTACCAGCAGCGAGTCAGGTAACCCTCCTTCTCCCAGGTGTAATGACCTTTGAAAGGTTTGGAGTAGCTCATTAAAGATAAAAACAGCTGACCTGTGATAACCAAGGGAATAGTATTAATATTATCGTGAAGTCCAGAGACGTCCTTAGCAAAGGGCAGCGAGACGGTGAGAGCTCGTCTCAAAGGAATAGCTTCCTAGAGATCACAAAAATCCTTTTACCACAATTGTATAGGAGGGAGTGTTTCTCTAGAGTATTATTTTGTATATATCATTAATGGGAAATTGCATTTTAAGGCGTTTTCTAATCACCTCAGAATTTTAGATTCTGTTTTTTGATCGCAAGGTTTTTAGCTTTTACATGTCAAAAAAAAAAAAAATAGAGGTCTCCATCAGGGCCATGTGAGAGAAGGATTTGAGGGACAGATACAAGGAGTAACAGGGGAGTCTGAAGGTTCCTGTCAAATCCCTAGCAGTAAATGGGAATAAGGGAAAATTCTACAGTTTGCTGACAAAATTTACTTCATTCTGCTTTAATGATCAGTCTCTAAATATTAGGAATATTAAGACCTGTTGAATCACGTTTTAGATTTTGTACTTGAGATGGCTGGTTGGTTTTTTCCAAAAAGACTGGAGACAGAGCTGTGCACAGTAGGCTGTCTGCCGCATTCGAGGAGAAAGTGGCTCGCTGACTCTCGTTAGTGACAAAACAGCCGTTTGAGAGGATTCACATGTGTGTGCCGAATGATTTTTGTGGGAAGGATTTGTGACTCACTCTTTATAATCTGGGTTTATCGCCACCATGGTGAGCCCCCTTCGAGCAGTGCAGTTAGGAGGTTGCTTATCTCCTGTTCCCCTCATACCACTGGTAGAAGAAGATGGCTTTGCATTATCACAGCTCGCCACGGCCACTTCCAAACCTTATGCTTCTGTCTTTTTTTAAATAAAAAAGACCCTTTCCTTTGAGACCACTTCCATTTGGCTGTATCACCTCCCAGCTTACTTCATCGTTGTTATCCAGCGTCTGCCCCCATCCGGCATTATCATTTGTCATCTGTTGCTGAAAATCTTGGCACTTGGCCATGTCCTGCCATCATCCTGGGTGACCTCAAAGTCCATGTCAATAAGCCACCTGTCACCCTGGCCTCCCAGCTCTTTAACCTCCCTCATATCTAGCGACCTTTACTTCTACTTCGCTTTATTTGTTCATATCAAGGGCTGTGTCCTGTGATTTGTCATCCTGGAAGCTGACCCCTCTGTGAAATTTAACATGCCACTCTCTGACCACAGCGCTCCATCCTCTCAGCTCCTTCACTTTCTCCCACGTGTCAGCTCTTGGCTCAGAGACAACTTTTGTCAGTTGTTGCTTCAACTTTCTCCCGAATTTGGAGCCACTCCTGGTTTATTTACATTCACTATTCAATTGATAACCTGTTGCCAATAAAAACACCCCTCCCTTTTTCCTGCACTGACCTAGGTACACCATGCATGGTTTCTAGTCTTAGCCTAATTGTCAGCACCGCCTGGTAAGACTTCTGTGTGTCTCAGTTTCCTCCACATTCAGGACCGTGGCTGTGTCTTTAATCATTCTCCTGTGGCCTTCTACCCTTGCCCCAACAGATGACGTGCACCTTATTTCACAGGGGAAATAAACTGTCAAGCAACAGTTCCCTCAATTTATGCCTTCTCTGTTACAGTTACTTGTTATTACTTTCTTTACTGCTATTCATTCTTTCACTCACTTATTTGCCCAACACATATTTTAATTCCTACTATGGCCTAGGCACCATGCTACGTTATAAACATAGAAGGATGAACACATACAGTTTCAGTCGAGGGGAAGCAAGGCTTGAAATTACAATAGTGTGGTAGATATAAAGGTTTATTTTTGTTTCTTCATAGCTTCCTCTTTCTTTCTCTTTTATTTATTTATTTGGGTAAGGGTGGTATCTTTTCTTCTTCACATCAAGATGA